TCCCTTCCTTCCCTCCCTTCCTTCCCTCCCTTCCTTCCTTCCTTCCCTTCCCTCCTTCCCTTCCCTCCTTCCCTTCCCTCCTTCCTTCCCTCCTTCCTTCCCTCCTTCCTTCTCCTCCTCCCTCCCTGGATGGAGTCCATAATCATTTCTTCAACCCACTAACTTGGCCCAAGCCAAACTGCCACAAAATCCTTACATACCCAATAATCATCCTGATGGCTCAACACCCACCATCCCAGATTCCCATGATGATCTGGAGACCAAGTGCTTTCTCTTCTCTAACAGGCTCAGTGGGTTTCACATTCCCCAAGGAACATTTCCTACAACATTTACTATTTTAGACAGTAGAGACATTTTCTACCTCAGAGGCTGTAGGTGTCTCAGAGTCCACTGTGCTTCTTGAAGGCCTTTTAATTCGAGCCGAACCCTTCTCCGAGGGACTGATCTTCTCAGACACTGCCGCAAACAGAAGGCTCTTAGGAGACCGAATACTTTGGACAGGAGAAGTATCTCTTTGGTCTGCAAGTCAAAAACAGCAACAACACCAAATTTCCTTTCAGCTTCTGCCCTCCAGATACTAACACAAAAAAAAAGACAAAAATTTCTGAGAGTGACTCCATTCTGTCAGCGACTACAATGAATGCTGCCTTCTTGAATTTTAGGAAGACTGCAATCACTCTCAACCCCTAAGGAAATGTAAGCAACAAATATAATTTATTTTGTGATTTTAAGCACACATTTCTGATGATCCAAGATAATAATGGATAAGAGAACAAAGTATATACAAAGAGATATCACCTTGCACCAGGGACACTTGAACATACGGTGGCCATTACAGGTGAATTCCTCTTAAAGAAATGTATTGCTTGCGAGAAATGTGTGGATCACCAGTTTTAAGAGTCAAAAGGGATGACTGGCAAGGATGGCCATGGACTATATCTGGTCATCACCCAGAAACTCAAAAACACACACTTATTCTTCTCCTCCAATGTCAACAAACAAAATATCTAATTTCATACTTCTTTTCGCCAAATGCTTCTTAACCAATGAGCATAGACTTTTAACAACAGACTGACACATATATCACCTGACTTGTCTTGCTGGAAGGAATGAACTCTCTGCACACTTCGAGACTTTGGCTGAGACGCAGAATAGAAAGAAACAGACTTCGTCTTGCCCAATGACAACTGCTTGATTCGAGGACTTCTTCTTAAACTTGGTTCTACAAAACAAGAATGACAGCTAGTAACAACAGTGAGATGCAAGCCTGGCATTTTCCCATGTGCAAAATGGGTAAAAATTATGCAGTGCCACATACAAGACGGAATCTGACAAGCTACTGGTTGAGACTTCTTAACTGCTATAACGAAGCTCAGATGAGATTGATATAGAGCTCCAAAAAGGTGCAAAAAAACCCCTGACCCACTGGACTGTCACCTCCAGACAGTCTCATAAACTGCCTCCAGTAAACATGTAGGGTGAGACATGTTTGCTAAGCAAGAGTGACTTTTGTAAACAACAATTAAAAACTGAAAACCTAGAAATAACACCTGTCAGAGTGTTATTGAAACTAACATGTTAACACCATTTCTGAGTTATTGGGCTACCAAGTGATCATTACAATTTTGGCTACTCTACATTTTCATTTTCTACAAGAAGCATAAATTTCTAAATTAAAAAAAGTTAGTTTTGAAAACTCCATCTTACATACTTCATAGATCAGCCATAGTGCTTTGTATTACATAGCATAGTAGTTTGGAAATCACTCTCAGTTACTTTTCTACTGTATGAATTATTTCTTCTCCAGAAATTCTCTCACTACATTCTGTGCAAGAGACAGTCCGCCAATCAATATTACTGATGGACACAATGTCTGTAAAACATCTTAGGATATGCTGAGCAGCAATGGTAAAGAATGCTTCTCAAAGAGAGAAAAAATATTAAAAAACGCAAATCGAATGTGGGTAATACCATCTCCTTTTTCCGGGGACTCGTCAACGACATCGATATCAGGACCGGTATCGGAGGATCTCGAGGAACAAAAAGCACAAGGAGTATTCAATATCACCAGTAATTCGTAGTTAACACACATCAAAGAGAAATACAGCTTCCCAACTCGCAAGGTGAAAAAGACCACAAGGTTTGAGAGCAGTTTTACAACATGTGTATGCCTTCTGACACCCACAAATTTCACTTCTTGCTATCTATCCTGGAGATAAACGTGTGCAAGTGTGTAAAATCCATACACCTATCAGGTCGAGAGGGAGCCCGGACAGGACAGAGTGAGTACACATGCTACTCCCTAGTCTTCCTGTTAAACACGGCTAAAAACCTTGAACATTATGTGTGAAGCCAACAGTGGAGAGAAGCAGACTGGCTGGAGATGCGGAACCCAAGAGACAGGGCAGTGAGCTCCCGGAATTTCCTTTTAGCTTCCTAGGTCCCAGACTGGGTGCTGGAGAAGCTGATACCCTAAACAAACTGAGAGCTGCAGACAAAAACTGCACAGAGAAACATGGCTCTCTAGCCAAAGAGCTACTACGGAAAGGGCAGGCAGGCAAGAAACTTGCAGATAAAACGGCCCTTCCCCAGTCAACTGCCCTGAAAAACTGGCCCCAGCACAGGCAAAGTTGGGATGCTAGACTTGCACCTCGCCTGGCCGTAATGAAGACTACTTCCTTCTCCATGGCGGCACGAGAAAAGATTTAAACATTGTGGAGGACCTATTCAACAGAATATTGCTTGGCAATAGAAATAGATGAACTGTGGATACATGTCACAATATGGATAAGTCAAAAAACAATTCTGCCGGGTGAAAAAGGCCAGTAACACAGCACCTTCTGTAGGTTCTCCAGCCCTCAGCATTTACAGAATGCTCTTCGGTTATAAGCAATACAGCTAAGATCTGAGTCACGAAGGTCATGGGGAGGTGAACGGTGGCCCACAAGATCATCACAGAGCCGACTACAGTACGGAGGAGCTAGACAACGCTGTCACTCACCTGCCCTTGATCTGTCTATGAAGCAGCCTTCTGGAGATTTGCTTGTGCACTGGAGTCTCGGGCACACTCTTAGTCAGCAGCCTGTGATGACCTAAGAAGCAAGCGGCAGACGTTTCACTGCACTGTACCCAGAAGAAGCAGCAAGGCCAAGGGCGCCATGCAACCTTATACATGGCCTGGCATGGAGCTGAAGATCTTGGACTAGGCCCTAAACTGTAGGACTCAATTTAACACGATGTAATAGTTAATCAGCACTCTTAGAGACTAAATGATAAATAAGCAAACCTAAAGTATTATGAAATTTTCATCTAACGAGCCGTCCAGAAAAACACAAAGTGCTCACACATCTGTCCGCCTGGTTGGTAGTTCTTGTATTTATGGTTAAATAAAGGGTGTGAAAATGCTGATAAGCTCTGTGAATGTCTGCATATTTCATATTCAGATGATTCTACCTGGCAGACCACTTTCTCCGCAGAGTAGGTAGTCAAACTACTCGTGGCAGGACTGGTCTTAGAGTGAAAAATGACAAGAAAGAGGAGTGACATCAGCGAGAATGTGGAATAAGGTTCTTAATCAAAGCTGCCCTCCATAAAAGGAATGAGACACTGGCAGAAAGGGGCGAAGCCAACTTTTCCTGAGCTCTGGAAGTGAACCGCTTCGCAAGGATCATTTCCGGAGAGTGAGCTAAAAAAGTATGAGACTGATGAATTGCCAAACAGAAAACATCGATCGAGACAGAAATCATAAGAAAAAAAGGAACTCTAAAGGTGAGAAAATATCCAAAAAGAACAATTCAGAGGAGGGGCTCAGGAGATTTAGGTGGCAGAAAAAACCCCCCGCAAATTTGAAGACTGGTTAATATCCAGTTTGAGGGACGGGAAGAAAAAATAACAAAAAATAAACCGCGTCTCAGACACCTATAGGGCACCACCGAGAATGACAACAGACACAGAAGGAGAGGAGAGAGACGAGGCAGGAAGAAAACCTGAAGATGCAGAGGCTGGAAACCGGCCAAGCTTGACGGAAGACCGACAGCAGACCCGAGTAGGATACAGTCAAAGAGATCGACACTGAGATCATAAACTGTCACAAATCAAAGAGAAGGACACTTGCGAGAAGCATGAGAGCAGCGTCCACCACATGCGAGGGACCCTCAACGAGCCAACGGCTGCTTTCTCATCAGACGAAGAGGCAGTGAGATGACACAGTCTAGGTGTCAAAAGCAGAGTCAACCAAGAATTCTCTATCCAGTAAAACTATTGTTCAAACACGAAGGAGAAATGAGCACATTCCCATATTAAACACAAAACAAAATAAAAAAACAAAGAGAACGGGTCACTGGCAAGTAACACTAAGGGGAGTCCCTCGTGCTGACACGAAAGGGTGCTAAACAAACTCAAATCCACAGGCACAATCAAAGGGCACAGGTTAAGGCAGCCACACAAGTAAATACAAAAGACAGTATAAAAGTTTTGTTTTATCACTCTTTTCTCTCCTAGGAGTAAAAAGATAAAGCGATAATTACAAATTTGTTTCAGTGGGCACACAGTGTATAAAGATGTAATTTATGTGACAATTTGACAGAGGAAGAGTAGGAAATATAACTATAGGAGCAAAGTTTTATATGCTACTGACATCGAATTGGTTTTGATCTGAACTAGGCTGTGACAGATTGATATTGATTGTAGCCCCTGAGGAAGTAACATCACACAAAATGGTAGAGCGGTTGGTGTCTCCTCTAAAACACCTAGTGAACTAGGGGAAAAAATGATCCGAATCAACGATTTTGGAACCCTGGAAACTGACTGGCTGCTTGTCACAGATGGGGAAGTGCTCACGAAGGGAGAGGCGCCCATGCTGGTAAGGGAGGACGCGCACCCAGCAGCTGCCATCCCCTTCACTCGGCCCCACTGCAGCTGCGGGGACAGTGGCCCACTTTCGGGGAGCGGTCGGCTGGTGGTAGGGCAGACGTTGGGGACCTTGCCCTACAGATATATTTTTAAATTTTATTGTTCAGTTACAGCGGACACGCAACGTCACATTAGTTTCAGGTCTGCAGCATCGGCGTCAGACATTTACATCCCGTGCAAACTGATCGCCCCGGTAAGTCTAGCGCCACCTGACACCTTATACAGTTGTCCTCCACATTTGGGGTTGTGAACTTTGGTCCATCTGGAGGATCCCCGTGGGGCCGGTGCAGACACTTTCCTTGGTTTTGATCCTCTCAGGCTGAAGTCATTTTGCTTTATGGCATTTATCAGAAGATTTACAAGGGAAAAGAATCCCTTTCTGTTTTTCCCTTTAAGGAGCCAGACATTTAAGGAAATCTTCGTCAAGTCACTGACTAACCACAGAGATAACAGAATAGAAACTTCAGGGACCACACACTACAAGGAATGCGTGCTTTACAAAAAAAGTCTAAAAAAGACAAATAGACAGCTGCTGCCCTCAATAAGCAGATATCAGCATCCGAAGAAACAGGAAAGTATGGCTCAGTCACAGGAAGAAAAGAAACACAGGTTTTCTTGATAGAAAGCAGAGACGTTGGAAGCACTGGTCAAACAGTAAATCGACTGTTCTAAATATGTACCACGAGCTCAAGGACACCATGGACAAAGAACTAAAGAAACCAGGAAAACGACGTATGGATATCAACAAATCACTGAAAATTATAAAAGGTGATTGAAATCATCCAGTCTGGGCAGAAAGAAAAAAAGAATGAAGACAAACGAACAAAGCCTGTGGGACTCTGGGGCACCATCGAGTGTGCAACAACACACACGCCCTAGAAAACCAGAGTCACATACTTTAAAAGAGTTGATTTCAGGGTGCAGGAATTATCTCAATTATTTAAAAAGAGGAAAAAAGCAAA